TATCTCTGAAGATCTGTGTTGGTAGGCAAGTCCGTCCGAGCGGTGTGAAGGATAAGGACAACCAAAAAATTTATGCGTACTGCCAGTAAAGTCAAACCATGACTAAAGTACTGTGAAATGAATACATATACACATACAAACATGCCTACCTCCTTAGATGCCTACATTAATGCATATAAATACCCAGCAGAGAAAAAACTAGTTTATAACTTGTTAGAATCAAACTAGTTTGTATTTATACACGAACTAGTTAGTTAGCAACTGGTATTTTCAACATGAATCTCTACTTCAAATACGTAGCAAAGAACTGGTAAGGTTCATGCATCAGCTCCTTTGCAAAATATGTTAATATGAAAGCGCGAAGACTGGATCCTAAGTATGCCTAATCCTCAAGAAAGGGACGCTCATTATCGTGGGATAAGCCTTCTTAATATCGCATAAAGGTCCTTTCGAGTATATTGTGTGAGGTGAAAGACTGAATCCCACCGTCGACAAACTGAGTGAATTTTATTACTGTAGCTTCAGACCTGGTAAGTCCACCATTGACGTCATTGTTAATAGTCATAGCTTTGAGGCTGCAGATAATTTCGTTTCTCTAGGCACCAGCATTAACACCAATAATAATATCAGCACTAGAATAGAACCCAGAATAACTGTTGGTAACAGGTGCTCTTATCAACTGAGTAGGCAATTGAAAAGTAAAATACAAAAGTACTATGTTGTAGAAGCCTGGACCATGTCGACATTTGAATATTCGGCGCAAGGAGAGAGACAGCGACTTCCCTGGCTAGGTCATATCGCTCGTATAAATGGAAGTGCTCCAGCTTTGAAATTATTCGATGCAGTAACCGCCAGAGAAATTAGAAGAAGAGGGAGACCTCCATTCTATTGGATCAATCAGGTGGAGAGCGACTTGGTTTTATTTCGGTATTTGTAAAGGCGCGATGCCCACGCACATGAGAAGGAAGCAGAGTAAACTCCTTTAGATGTAAAGAACCGGTATTATTTTACCTCCAAAATACTAGCTTTTCACTAGTACTAGTCTACCTCTCCACTGCTGTCTTTTTTTTGTTTTTATATATTCTATATATGTATGTATGTATGTCCATGTAGCATGGTGTGTACGCCAGCCAGAGGGTAAGTAAGTGTGCATGCATAAGTAAATAGATTTTCTGTTATTTTTGTTGTTGTATTTGACTTCGTTTACTTTTTTTATTGTTGTTGTTCCTGATTTTGTTGCAGCCAACTTTAACTTTGTCATCGTTAATGCTATAGTAATTGCTTTTGTTGTTTTCGTTGGTTCGGCTGTAAATGATTGCCGCTTTGGTGGGAGGCGTTCGCACGAACTCTACAACAACTCCATCAAACCGACTTACTGACTAAACTAAATGGCTTCTGCTGATATTGCTGTGCTGCTGTATTGGTTTGTAGGTGTGCGTATGTGCGAATGGCCTTTGCCTTAGGCTGTGGTCAGAAAATGTTTGCAGCTGTGCTCTTGTGTGTGCGTGTGTGTGTGTGTGTTTGTGTGTGTTTGTATGTTTGTGTGCCCAGCAACCGCTGCATAAGCAATGAGTTTGTCTTGCGGGTCAGCTGCATGCCATTGACCGTATGGTGACCATTACCTATGAATTGCTTCATCTTATTCCTCCAACTACTTCAGCCATTCCTCAAGCAGAGTCCACGTCCACATTCACCCACACAGGTTATCCATGTTTCAATGTCGTTGTCGCCTCTTTGGCTTTTCTTATATTCATTTAAATAATTGTATGTTTGTTAGTTGATATTTCCGATAAATAAATATCCATACAAATGTATGTATATGTATACGCATTTGTTTGTATTTGCTTGTGTTTGCCATTGTTGTTAGACATAGTTATTGTTGTTTGCATTTTTGGTTTGTATACTGAATATTTTACGCCCGAATGAATTGCCGAATTTGTTGGTTTTGCGCTTGAATAATTTGCAATCTATGTTAAATAAAATTTTATTGCTGAAGTGTTTTTTGTGCAGGCGAATTTACGCTGTGATGTGGCGTTCGGCGTTCACTGAGAAAGGTAAAGCTTTGCTGCCTTAAAGCGCGCAGTAATTTTGCCCAAAATGTCTCAATGAAAGATTAATGAGAATTATACATAAACAAAGAAGTCGAACTTGGAGATAAAGCTAAAAATAGCAAAGTGACATTGAAGGCACTTGATTGTGTGCTAGCGTGGTGAAGATTTAACAAAATCCTCTGCTGCAGCCGACTGGACCTGTTTGAATTTTTTAACCCTTTTTCGAGATAATAAGCCGAGCAGGTGGGATCTATGGGTAAACCATTGGAAGTGTAGAGTTCATTAAAAAATCAAAGGCCTTAGGTGTATGCAATTGCCCAGTAGTTATATCTTCAGCTTGTCTAATTTATTATTTTTTAAATTTTAGTGAAAAATAGTTTAACCATTTAAAAAATATTTAAATGCTAATTTTCAAGTAAGTGGCCAAAAAAACTGCTAGTGTTGTGTACTACCATTTGGAATTCCAACGTCCCAAAATTATATAAAATTATTTTCGACAGGCAATATCAAGTCTTCGTCTATAATTCTGACTTGACAAAAAAGATCATCATTAAAACCATCGACCTTTAGGAGGCAGTTTAGGATAATCAGCTTTTGGTCTCTTGATTTAACGAAAAAACATCAAGATGCAAAGTCCACAAATTTGAGGAAGAGCTTTGCCGAAAACCGCTACAGCGGTTACAAAGCGCGAACCATCTTCTAATATATAAAATTCGCGTGTCACAGTGCTAGATACTATACCCTTCCGAAACGGCCTTACCGTTTAAAACCAAATTTGTGTGCATAATCAGTAGGCTTGAGAATAGAATAATATCTATTTTTCAAACCCAAATATTTTTTTGAACCCCCCAATTTTTTTTAATATTCTTGGACAAAATTTTATTTTTTATTTATTTTTTATTTATTTATTATATTAGGTAACATTCTTCTTCTTCTTGTTTATTGGCGTTAGCACCGCTTACGAAATCAACATTAGCGCTCCATTTCTCTCTTCTTTTCACTGTCTGGCGCCAGTTGATCTCTAAGATATCTCTCACGCCACAATGGATTGGTACGACTATGTGATCAAAAATTTTTGTTATGAGTGTGTGAGTGACTTCACAAGGAAGCTTCGAAGTCCAAAAGTTGTTATCGCAGGAGAAAGCCGAATGGCTTACTACTCAACTTCCACGCTCTCTCTGAGAACACCCATCAGTAACTTGGTATAATGTCGAAAAGTTGCTTGTGCGATGAGAATTATCGTAGCGCAGTGTAGAGAAAACAGGCGGCCTTCCTCGCAACCTTGCGAGCGACCACAATATGTGAAGGGTGAAATAGATGCCGGGAATTGAAGAGGGAAGCTGAAAAAACAAAAATGGCGTCGAGAAGCGTTAGTATAAAGAGCCTGAAATCTTTTGAATTGGGTTCTACTATCTTTCAACCTGTTAATTCAGTCTTGATCAGACCATAAAAGAAGCCATAATATGGCTGGTGTGGATGAAAGGTGATTAAAGACAACGTTCAAATCAAACTTATATTATGGTGTATGAAGGCTGTATAAGTTCCTCTAAAGAAAGGTGACCAAACTTTAGTTGAGTCCTTTAAAAACAGGGTTTTCCAATAAAAAGATATTTTGATATTCAGAGAATGGTATTTTTTGAGATAAATGATCATTGGACATTTCTTTCAATAAAAAGAAAAAAATAATGGAAGACAATATTAGCTAAATGGTTGCCATGGCTCCGCTTACAGAACCGCATCCTTTGTAAAAGTTTTTCCATCAACAAATCGCAAAGCTTCAGAGATTCCTTCTTTGAGGTCTTGAATCGACGTTTGCCTCTTGATGTAGGCATTATCTTTCACTTTCAAGGAAGAATTCGCAAAGTGTTAAATCACAAAATTTCGATGGCCAATTGCCAATCACCTCTTCAAAAGATGGCACGGTCCGGAAACTTTTCTTTTAAAAATATTAATGGTTTCTTATCTTGTGAGACATATAACGGCATACAAAATCATTATCGATCATTATTAATAAACTCTATATAGCGCAATATAACTGTTGCTCCAACCTCATTTACGAAAAAGTAATACCCAATGACCTCGTCAGACGGTAAGCCGCGCCAAAGCCGTCCTATATGCAATAGTTTTGATTAAAGATATAGCCATCGATTTAGAAATAAGTCTCATATGTCTAGAAGATTTTTCCATACAAATCCGAGTCTTTTTCATGCTTTTCTAGAACCCAAACAGCAAAGACACGACGTTGTTGATGATCGGCTGGTTTTAGGTCATGTGCTAATTGAACTTCATATGTCTTAGACCCAAGTCTTTATGCAAAATTCTGCTTATTGACGTTTGTGGAAGGCCTAATTCCAAAGAAGGACGAGAAATTGACAAACCTTCTATCACAATGGGCTTATTGGCCTAAGTGTGCTGGGGTTTTGACTAGCAGCCGCATCAACTCAATGGACAAACCTGTTTTATCTTCACATCACTTACATATCCCAACAACTCCATTTTTGTTTACCAATTTCTGTATTGCGGTCCTACAAGGTGCTTCACGACTAACGAAATATGTTTTTGTTTTACGAACTATCCCTGACCGGGTTTCATTATTTTTATAGTAAATTATAATACTTTCAATGTGTTGTTAAAGCGTCTATCTTTTTGTCTTTATTACTGGCGTAGTTTTTACTTGTCAAGTGTTAAACAACTACAGCTCCAGTAGTTACATCTACCGGAATAGCAGACTATCCAAACTAAAGCCTCTTATTGGAAAACATTTATCAACAAAATAGTTTTTGTAAATTCCCTCTATAAAACACTCTCTACACTGAACGACGGGCGTAAAAATTTCCCTGCTTCAATCTGTATGATTTCGCCGCATACCACTACATTCACAAAACTATTTTTTCGTTCCCATATGAAAGTTTCTGTACTAAGAGGAGTAACAACAATCAAATTTGATTATTTAGTGTGCTAGAAGGAGATGGAGTATACGCATTCATAAATTCAAATATGACTTTAGAAAATTTTACGCCATTAAATTTTCCAATTTTCAGACGCTAAGAGGTAAGTTCGGATATTTTACAACATTTATTAGTAAAGTATTTTGATAATAACATAATTCTTTGTTACAGATCGATTGAATACAATCCGGCTCAGTAGTAAATTTAAAGCACTAAAAAATGAAGAAATAATAAGGTAAGTTAACAGCATCTGCATTTATGTTTGTACAGTTGGGTGTATGTACACATGCATGGTAAATTGCAGTTAATTTGTAAGTAATATTAAAATAATATTATTATTGTTCACTCAGGTTCGTTTGAATGTATTGCGGACCAGCTGCAGATTCCAATTGTAAGAAAAACTGGGAAAAAAGTAAGCCAACAACAAGCATACGTATGCACTTTTGTAAAAATAGATGTATGCACATAAGTATCTGAGAATATGTTCATACATATGTTCTTTCAGTTTTATTTTTGTTTAACAAGATAATTGTTTATTTAATGTTTTGTCATCGTTTGTAACCTCAGAAGACTCGATATGGCCACTACATCACCGCATCTTGACTGGCTAACCATTTGTAAAAAGAATTAATTTTGGAAGTATCGTTATCTAAAGCGGCCCTTTAGCAGATAACCAACGGGAGTGCTATAGAAAACGAAATCTTCAACTTGAGGTTAAATGTAAGTTTCTAATTTCTAAGGGATTGTAACTACGGCCAAAGATTACACATCTACATTGTCACCTTTAATTCTAAAGTGAAAATAAACGAAAAGTTTTTTTTTCATTAATAATTTACATTTGATTCGTTAAATTTAATTAAAAATAAAAGTTTTTTTTAACTTTAAGTTTAATCAAATTTATTTAAAAAAAATTACTTTTTTGTGAAAATTTATATTTGTCGTGCATGTACCAGACACACATACGTATATATGTATGTTTATGCAAATAAAAATGGTTTTTGATGAGCCTTAATTGCAATTAACTTTTTAACTTGAAATCGTTAAAAAGTTCTCCAAAGGAAGTTTATTTAAATAGTTCTTAGTTTAAACAAATTTATTCATAAGAAATTTTTGTATTATGTGAAAATTTTACACTTTTTGTAAATCTGTAAGCTATTCGTACATATGTATATATATACGTGCATAGCAAAAGCTCTTTTTTTGTTTAATCATTTAATTTATCGGTGTACAACTTTGCTTCCGCCGTTTTCCGATAGGTGGCTGTACCGGCTGAGGCTGGTTGAAATACATAGATGATAATGCCTTTAAAGTGAGTGTGGACAGTGCCTAACGAATGGTCATCACGATTTCAGTGACAGTTGTTCTTGTTTACTTAGTATTCGCACTCGAAAATTTCCGTTTATGTGCCTAATTCTCGCCATTTGTGGGAAGTTTTACTTTTCTGTAACAATTCGAAAAAAAATGCAACTGAAGCGCATCGATTGCTCTCAGAAACTTACGTTGTTGCTGCTCTGAGTGAAGGAACGTGTCGGGAGTGGTTTCAACGTTTTAAAAATGGTGACTTCGATGTCGAAAACAAACATGGTGGTAGAAGAGAAAAAACCTTCAAAGATGAACAGCTAAAAGCATTGCCTGATGAAGATTCGGGCCAAACCCAAGAACAGCTTGCCGAATCGTTGGGAATGAGTCAGCAAGCCATTTCAAAACGTTCCAAATCCCTGGGCATGATTCAGAAAGAAGAAAACTGGGTGCCGTACGAAATGCCAAAAGTGGTCAAAAAGTACATGGAAACGCTGAAATGTGAAGTTTTGCCCCACCCGCCGTATCCCCTAAATGTCGCGCCTTCTGACTTCCACCTATTCCGTTCGATGGCACACGGCCTGGCAGATCAACATTTTCACTCCTTCGAAGAATTGGAAGAATGGATTGCTTCATGGATAGCGTCAAAAGAAGACTCCTTTTTTCGAGCCGGGATCCGAAAATTGCCGGAAAGATGGGAGAAAGTTGTCGCTAGCGAAGGACAATACTTTGAATAATATATCTGTAAACACTTTTTCGCAATAAAGCTTTTAATTTTGGAAAAAACGGCGGAGGCAAAGTTGTACACCTGTTAATTAGTTAAAATTAATTTTAAAATTTATTTAATTATCCTCTGTCCCGATTGAGTTCAGTTTATAAAAAATTAATTGTTTTGGGAAAATTTTACATATTTGTTGTTGGTGTTTCAGGCAGGCATAAATGCGTGTGTACCTATTGATAATGTTCTTTAAAAACTTTAATTGCAATGATTTTTTTAACTTTAAATGGTTAAAAAGTGTTATAAAAAAAAGTATATTTAATTATTTTTTGCTTCACTTAAATTTATTAAAAAAAAATCATTTTTCTATAGCGAAATTTTTACACTTTTGTAGCATATTATGTACCTGCATACATAAATAATGTAAGCAAATAACAATGTTCTTTGTTTATTTCAGGTTTTGTCATCGTTGTCTTTGTCTACCACGTCCCCGCATCATAACTGTTTGGTCATTCTCAAAAACAATTCGTTTCTGTTGAAGAACTCCTTCAGTACGTCAATTGGACCAACGTGAGCTCTTTCCACTACAGTGGTTTGATCGCCAGTTGCCGTCAATGACTTCAATGAAAATGTTAAGAAAATAAGGTAAGCGTATGCATAAGTGACTGTATGTATGGATGTATGTGTACATATTGTACATATCGGAGAGTGGGCGGGTTTAGTCTTTCAATGGGGGTTTGGGTATATTACATAACATCTAACATAAAACCATTTTTATGGTTGTTTTAACATAATATATTATTATTATTTTATATATTATAATGTCAATTAATTGTTTGCATTTTGTAAACAATTATTGCAAATATAATTAAAACTAGGAAAATATAGCAGTGTTGGTACTAATATTTATTATGATGGCCACTTGCATCTATAACAGTTCGAAGACGTCGGGCATGGGCTGATGGTTGCTTAAGTCATAATTTTCAGTTTATTTCCTCTTCCTGAATGATTTCGCTTCTTTAAAAAAACCCATTAATTTTTTATGGGGCTTAAGTCAGGACTCTGGGCACAGAAGTGTCAATCACTGTACTGAAATTATATAGTAGCCACGTCCTGCGCAGCAAAGATTTATGTTTGGGATCGTTGTCCTGGCACAGTTTGTACTTTATTTCGTTGGTGTTTTCATGGTCAAAAAATCCAAATTTTATCGCACTCCTTGACTATTCGTACTTTAGAATATCCGAAAAAATTTCCTTCGTCATCACATCATTGAAAACTCAGAGCTCACCAACACCTTTCGACGAAATGCCACCCCAAACCATTACAGGAAGTTTACCAAATTTTACTGTTGGAATTATATTTTTCTGTTTCAAAGCTGTGTTGGGTTTTCTACAAACTTGACCCAGCTCATGATGGTATAACATTATTTTTGTCTCGTCGCAAAACATAACGTCATCCCAGTATTCCGCAGTCCTGTAAACATTGGTAATAGAAATGTTGAGCCGCTTCTCAATAATAACTACCGACAACAATGGTATTTTTAAGAATTTTCGGTTTGTTTCGTGACTTACTGTTTAATATCTAACGCCAATTTTCTAAGGGTGGCCTGAGGATTATCACTGATCTGATTTAAAGTTTTTGAATGATCGCGTCTAGAAAGTTTTGGTGGTCTACCTCCCGAGTGCTTTTACTCCAACCTCTTTCATTTTTCTGCGCGTTTTAAAAAATTATAAGTCATTCGAATGTTAATGGAAAACATTTCCGCTAACTCCTTAGCGGGTTTCCCTTTGTGGTGGATAGAATAAACTAATTGAATAAGATTTTCATTAGTTCGCTTGCCAGGCATTGTTAGAAGCGCTAAATCAACAAGATCTGAACTGTCCAAAGCATTAATCGAATTGAATGTAATAGAGCAACGCAGAGCTATGACGAAAGCGGTCACTCGTTTTCGATTTTGTGGTACCGTTAAGGTATTTCGAATTTTGTGGGCATTTTGCAAGGAGTTAATTGACAACGCAATATTTGGTGAATTTTAAATTTGTTATGATTTTTTACCGTTCGGTTTTAATGTTTGTTATTTGTGCGAGTGATATTTGTTCAGAATACTTAAATTGACAATACCAGTTAATAAAAAAAGGAAATAGTAAGATACTTTCATTTATAAAATAAAATTTAAAAAGAAATTTTTTTATTTTTTTTCATTTTGCAAACATTTAGTTGACATACTGTATGCGATTGTATGTAGTACATATCTAAATAAAAAAATTTAAACTACGCCATTATTATATCTATATGTATCTATATGCCTTGTAGGTTTATAAATACATTAACTTTGATTCCGCCGTTTTTTTCCAAAATTAAAATCTTTATTTTTAAAAAGTGCTTACAGATATATTATTCAAAGTATTGTCCTTCGCTAGCGACAATTTTCTAACATCTTTCAGGCAATTTTCGGATCTCGGCTCGAAAAAAGGAGTCCTCTTTTGACGCTATCCATGAAGCAATCCATTCTTCCAATTCTTCAAAGGATTGAAAATGTTGATCTGCCAGGCCGTGTGCCATCGAACGGAATAGGTGGAAGTCATCAAGGGCGACATCTGGGGAATACGGCGGGTGGGGCAAGACTTCCCATTTCAGCATTTCCAGGTACTTTTTGACCACTTTTGCGACTTTTGCTTTTCTTTTAGCGCACGACTAAGGCGCATCAGTTGCATTCGGTGATGGTTTCACCCGGTTTTAAGAGCTCGTAGTAAATCACACCGAGCTGATGCCACAAAATACAAATCATAACCTTGGCGCCGTGAATATTCGTTGACACCACTCCCGACACGTTCTTTCACTCAGAGCAGCATCACCGTAAGTTTCTGAGAGCATTTGATGCGGTTCAGCTGTATTTTTTTTTTTCGAATTGTGGCATAAAAATTAAAACTTCCCGTAAATTGCGAGAATTAGGCACGTAAACGGACATTTTCGAGCGTGAATACTACGAAAACAAAAACAACTGTCACTGAAATGGTGATGACCATTCGTTAGGCACTGTCCACACTAACTTTAAAGGCATTATCATCTATGTATTTCAACCAGCCTCAGCCGGTGCAGCCACCTATCGGAAAACGGCGGAAGCAAAGTTGTACACCTGATAACAAATAGGTAATACACACAAAGCCTCTTCCAACATTTTGTACGAATACAACAATACCAAATGTTATAACTTAATGTTATGGCGCTGTTAACCAAATAATAACATACATTTTGCCAAACCAAATATACAATTAGAGCAGAAAAGTATAATTTATTTATGTCGTCAACTAATGAGACTGGGTGAATAAGATAATCACACTAACATGCGGCGATGAGGAGAATTGGTTAAAAAGTTCCCGACGCTAGAACAAGAGTAACGTATCTGCTACCGAATGCTTAAGTGAAAGGTAATCGATACTCCATATGTTGAATAACTTCTACCCTTCTTGTAGGGTAATAAACTAATTTTTGCAAATTTAGGTATTCCAAGCTTTACATTTCTGGCAAAAGGATAATGAAATTCATAAATTTTTGTACGCAATAGATTCATTGGCAACCTTATTAATTTCGATTTATGCATGTATTTAGTATGTATAATACATGTGGCTGTGACTTTATGAAACGCTTATTGAATATGGAAGCAAAGAAGAGTCGTCATATTAGCCTTTGTGGCTTTTCAACATTTCCCTTGACAAATAAATCTCGCATGACTTCATGATTCCCAACGTTCCTTACCGAACAAAGTCCGTCTGATGCTGTATAAATACAAACGTTCATATAAATCACGACGCTTGGTGTACTTAAGTACCTCAATTGCTTTCGAATTTATCAAACACAATGACATCATTTCCATATTATTTGCTTTTCGCCGCACACTTCAACTCACTATTTTCGTGTGGAATAAGTAAAAGGGCTAAATACACACAAATGCACACAGCCAAATCTACACATTCATTTGCAGGCATTTATGTATGCATGTATGTGTGCATTTAAGTAAAAGGCACATGACTGCTTGTGAAGAGGACAATTGTTGCTTATTTCCTTTACTTATTTGGTTTGATTTATGCGAGATGATAAGGGTAGGCATGACTGCTTAGCCATTTTTATAAGCATGCAAAAGAACATACACACACATACATACATACGAACACAAAAATAACAAATATTTATTGAATAATAAAAACAATTTCTGTTCTTATTTTTCTCTTCAAACAAGTGTACATGTGTTTGTGTGTATGTGTATAAGAATGCCTGTACGATGATTTATAAATATAAAATAATCGCATATATTATACTTTTGTTTGCACTATTATACATAATATACACCCATACATATGCATATTTATGGACTTTTGTGTGGAAAAATCCTTTCGAACACAATAGATTTTATTGAATGAAGTATTCATTGCTTTGAATGTATCGATGAATTACACTTTGAGTTGGAGGCGTGCAATAAAATATGATGCCGCACGTGTAGACATAATGCAAAAATACTTATTATGTATATATGTACACATAAATATATGCTCTGTCGGTGGCTTTACGTAAACAAAATTAGAAAAATAGGCGTCAATTACTGTGGGATAAGCCTCCTTAATATCGCCTCTAAGGTACTGTCGAGCGTATTGTGTGAAACACTGAAGCTACTCGCCAACAAACGGATTGGACCTTATCAGTGTGGTTTCGGACTTGGTAAGTCAACCATTGACCAAATATTCGCTATGAGTCCAATCTTCGAAGAGGCCCGTGAAAAAAAGATGGGCACCCACCACCTCTTCATCGATTTAAAGCCGCCTTATACGGCTGTGTAAACTGACCTTAAGCAACACTAAAAGCTCCGTCAAGATCGGCAAAGACCTCTCCGAGCCCTTCGATACTAAACGAGGTTACAGAAAGGGTGACTTTTTGTCGTGTGACTTCTTAATTTTATTGCTGGAAAATATAATACGAGCTGCAGAGCTGAATAAAGAAGGTACAATCTTCTATGAGAGCGTACAACTACTAACGTACGCGCATATTGTTGACAATATTGGCCTGAGCAATCGCTCCGTGAGTTCTGCTTCCTCCAGACTGGAGAAGGAAGGGAAATATATGGATCTGGTAGTTAACGCGAGTAAGACGAAATATCTCCTGTCATCAAACCAAGTAAGTGCAATGCCGAATCACTTTTGCTAAAACCAATGCCACTTTAGAATATGTAGGCAATAGAGAAGTAAGGTTAGAAGTTTCGAGAGAAACGTTTTGCTTAGGATTTATGGTCCTCTAGAAGTCGAGAACGGCGACCACAGTTGATGGAACGATGATGTGTGTGATATATACGGGGACGTTGATATATTTTTGAAAATGAAGAGACAGCTACTCCAGCTTTGAAAATCGAGGGAGAGGCAAACTACCACTCCGTTGGAAGACAAGATAGAGATTAATCTGGTTGTAGATGGAGTTATAACAGATGTCAAAATACAACCCTGTGTTTTTGTAACCATGAAATAAGTTTTCTTCAATACAACACAAAACGTCTGACGCAGACAGTAAGACAGTATTAATAAAATTTAAATTAAAATGAACCATTTATACCTTTAATGTTTAAATTTTCTTAGCATGTATATATGTGTGTATGTGTATAC